CAAGGAGAAAGAAAAGGTAATAATGAAATAACTAAAGAAATAACTCCCCGAAGACAGGAAGACCCAATTCCTTGCATGGTTTTGGCTACACTGTCTGCAAAGTTGTGTTTTCATTCTTGAGCACCATGTAGGTCAGGCTTGCACAATGCTTTGATGAGGAACAACCATTTTTGCAGCTTTATGGCTACGAAGGATGTGTTAGCTTCACTTTCAAACCAGGGTTCAGTGAGATATGTCTGATGTGCTCATTCTTGACTTCTGCTGCTTTGCTGAGTATTTTCTCCTCCACACCGGATCTGTTCATTCACACCACCTGCAATGTGAAGCCACTCAGGTGAATTTCGGTGTTTTGTAGACAGGGCATAAAAGATCAATGGATAGGCTTTAGACTCACCAGCCATGGTCTGAATGACATGCACCTGTCTTTGGGCAGCAGTGATGTGGGCCCTTCTTCTGACCCACAGTTGCCAGCCTCTAGTCTGCATCTGCCTGCTTTCCAGGATGGCCTTCCTGAAAGAGGAGCTCTGGATTGCCAGTGTAGGAATTGAACCAGGCCACACTATGTTTCCCATCTGCATATTGGCTCCTTCCAGGTGCTCGTTGTTACTTTCCTGAAGAGCAGCACCCACCTGGTGCTCAACATCTTCTCTGTTCTGGTTTGGTTTCCACTGCATTTGCTACACATACAGAGGCATACATACTTTATAGTTACCCTCATGTCATCAATCAGTTCATCTTGATACTTTACATAAATCCAAATCAATCAAATTTCAATTTGATTTTATTTGATACTTTACATAGTCACTCTCACTCACCTCTTCAAGCTTGTGGCCCTAATAACATGCATGTGTCTGAATGAGAAGTGTTTGGATATGCCTGCATTTATAATATCCAGGCATGTTCCTGGATTGGCTACCCCATATGATTCACAAATAAGGCTCAGTTTTATTTCTTGAAAGGACCTGATTGGATGATGCTCAAGAGGCCCCACCTTATCCTCTCCAAATCTGCATATGTTATATGTGGCCCTAGCACACATGGTATCCTCCCCCCTCCAGTCTTCCATCACTGAGATTTAACATATTACTGGAAAGCTGCTATGACTGCTAGGACCTGCCACAATACTTCCCTGCAAGCCGTTGCCCTTCCCTACTTTTTGCATGTTTCATATTGTTCAGTAGCACAGGTGATTATTATGACCAGCTGTACCTAAACTGAGTTGCCTGGTGACCCCCACCTTTCTCTCTTCCTATGCACTCTTTGGATTTCCTGTGTGTACAACCTTACGATTCTTCTACCCTCAATTTGCCCATCTGATTTGGGTGGTGTGCACACTGACTTTGGATCACAGGCTTGCATTGTGACAAAAAATTCTCATTGAATTCATATGTGACTATTCAGAGATGATAAACTGCTTATGAACTACCATCTGGTTTGCTGTGTAGGCTTGTTTCTGTGCCAGCAGTACCTGGGGTTGATTCAGATGACTTTAGTAGCAACTGGAGTGTACCTACACAGCACAGACTCCAATCACTTCCAAAGACAGGGCGGCTGCATTTTGTGGTGACTGACCAGTCCTCAGGATGAGTGAGGCAGGGCTAATTCCCTTCGCACTGTGGCATCAGCTGTAAAAACTTTGGCCCTCTGTCTGTGTAGAGGTCTTGCAGCTCTCTCCTCTGTGTGGCATCAGAAAAGAAGAAGGAAAGAAGGGGAAGCTTTGTCAGCAAGGTGGTTTATGAAGGAAACTCTGTACTTCATAGGGTCTGAGCAATCTAGATGGGTGAAACTGTATATCTTTATGGCATGAATAAGCTGGAAACCAACACATTCACTGTATGTAAAAACTGAGGGGAGGTGCTAACTACCACAGATACTGTTGTGTGGAGCATATAACAGGTGAATGATCTCTGGGCTGACTGGGCCGAAGCTCATATGGCCAGCTGTGAGGGTGTCTGGGTATAGGTCAGCTCTGAGTAAGAGAGTGTCTGGCATCATTGCCTTGAAACAGACAAAAAAGAGGGTGAGAGACCACTCCAAACCCCATTTGGGGACATTTTTGCTTGTTCTCTGTCAATATATGCGATTCCATCCAGCCTGGAGTCATTGTTTCTTTCAGTCAGTGGTTCTTTCCTATTGTTTAAGCACAATATGCTCTTTTATGTGACTGGTGTGTCTTCCTCAAGTATGCGGTTTTCCACCTTCCTCTGAAGCGACGAGCTCACTTGTGTGTACACAACTGTCTTCTCTGTGGGAGAATGGGTTGGAGCCCCCCTCTCAGCACAGTCTTGACCTCATGCCTCCTTTTGGACCCTTCCATATTTGGAGTGTAGACAGAGGTGCTTCTCTGCACTTGTAGAACATCCTGAAGAGAAACTTCCTAAATTCCCTATCAGTGGCCATTTCTGACCACAGGTTTGCAGTATTGATAACAAATTATGGCTGTCCTCCTAATTACGGAATGAAACGGGGAGGAGGAATATTGTGTGATGCCTTGACAACCGTCAGCCAATGATGAAGTGGTCAGAGGACATTACACCAATGTTATGCGCATTGCAGCAGCTGCCTATTTGCATCTTGGCTCAATTCATGGCAATTAGTTTGGCTTTTAAAAACCATAATAGTTTGGGACCAAGTTATTTGAAGTATTGTACAGGTGGCATCTATCCAAGCTTTAGCATTTGCTGGAGGGGTCGTATTCATTTGTCCACTAATAGCAATTACTAGATTTGTGGGCAAAAGAGAACAACTAATTATGAGAATTATCTCGCCCAGGGTATATGGCTGTTTTGCTTCCTGCTGATTTTTAAAGGAGACCTTGTTTTAATTATAGGCCACCTTTAGATTTTTAGTTTTCATGCTGGCTTGTTTGTGCACTTGAAATTAATATCTTAATGTTCAAAATGCTGATTTTTATTGCTGTTCCTTAATGTTGTATTTCAATTTTTTCTGTTTTCAAGTGGAAAATATTTTAAAACGCAGCTCAGAAACAGGAATTCCTAATTAATAAATTATTTGCCTTTAACTTCGATCATTGTGTCTTATGTAAAGATTTATAAGACTTAAATTGAGAGAATACATTTGGGCCCAAGTGAAAATGTTACAGGTGGTAAAGCTGGTCACATAAAGAATGGAAGGAATTGCAGTGTGATCCAATTTTGTATACTAGTGAAAATCAACTGGACCACTATTGTGATGTGAAATGCTAAGGAGCAAACTAACAATATTTAGAGTAAATGAAATGAGGTGGAAGATTTTCAAGGAACAATGCACATTTAACAAATGGCTATAAAATACTAGTTCCTTCCTTTCCCTTCTTTGAATTACTTTAAGTAACATTCTATCATCATTTCTGACTGATTTTGAAAACAAAAACCTCTCAATCCAGTTGTCTCTGAAACATCTGCCCTCACTTTCCTTTCCAGTTCAGATCTAGGCTGGAAGGTTTTCATGATAGCAGCTACCTGATGGTTTTTTTTCTTTTTTGTTGGTTTGGTTTTGCTTACGTATACTGATGGGTGTGTACGCAGTATGGTGTGCAGTGGTCCCCAACCTTGGGCTCCAGATGTTCTTGGACTACAACTCCCAGAAATCTCCACCACCACCTCTGCTGGCCAGGATTTCTGGGAGTTGAAGTCCAAGAACATCTGGAGGCCCAAGGTTGGGGACCATTGGTGTAGTGGATAGAGTGATGGACTAGGGCTCTGGTGGCACTACATTGGGGCCAAGGCGAAGCCCAAGAGTAGCTAAGCCTGGCGATGTGTTGCTTCCTTTGCATTTGGGGCCAACTATCTCAGTTGCGTCCTCTGCACCCTTCCTTATCCTGAGTACCAACGGGACAGTCCTCAGTCAGAATCAAGACAGCTGCCTTCTCCCCGCCACAGTCCCTGGCAGAGAGAAGGCAGAAACGGCGGCTGGGATTTTTCTGTCACCTCTCTCTTAGCGCTGCCTGCCAAAGCAGCGATTCGCACT